ACGAAGGTGGCGCGCGGCCTGAAACGAATGGGGAGAACGAACATTTGAACCTGCATCGTATGTAACACGCAATATTTCATGTTTATTTTAAGTTGTTCCTCACTGCACACAGACAGTGACCGACCATCGGCTGACACTTAAAAACACGCAGGCAGAGTGTGAATACACGCAGGCTCGCCGGCAGGCGAATGCACCTAAATACTCGCAGGCAGGTGAATACACTTAAATATCCGCAGGCAGGTGAATACACTTAAATGCACGCAGGCTCGCAAGCAGAGTGTGATTAATGTGATGGCTGTAATGACAGTTTATCGCTGCGCGCATACAGCATACAGCGGCCGATGTTAGATGTTAATACACTTATGGCATCCGCGAATGTAAACCCGGTATTGACCGGGCTCCTTAGCGGCACACCATTGACCGGGAGGCAGATTCCCCTCCCCCCCCCCCTCCCTGCTTATCTCAAGAACCGTTGGGTCGAATTTTGAAAAAAGATTGCAATCGATAGCGCAATAGGCTGCGGTTTCAAACCGCAGCAAAGATTTACGTTTAAGTGTGTGCGATGGTGGCAGATCAAGGCCAAGTTCTAAAAATGCTACTTTGTATTATTGGACTGCTCCCACGATGTATTTCGTTTAGAAGCTTATCTTGTGGCGTAAAATCATAACGCCGTGATCGAACATGCTACACAGGAATGCATCCAATCTCACACGAATTGTTTCATGTCTGGAGCCAAGGTCACGTGTGGTGTAAATGAGAGCTGAAACATTGGTCTATATCTGTATTTTAATCTATTCATTTCCGTCAAGTTTGAACCCTCTAAGCGCGATGTGGGAATACTTAGTGCAATTATGGGTATCAAGTACCCCAGCAAGAGCTGTTAGTTGTTCATAGACCGGCTAAGGTCAATGTCAAATAGATGGCCTCGGTGGTGAATAAGCGGTTGGATCCACGTTCATAACGCGATTTGTAATGGAAAGCTAGACTATCCAGTTAGAGACTCATTCATCATTCAGTTGTGCGATAGGAAGCGATCCTCCTTGCAGGTTTGACCTGGTAAAGTGAGAAAGCTGGAGAATCCAGGTCATATCAGGTCACCTTCATCAAAAAGGGATGTCACGAAACGTCCTACCCCGATTCAATGCCTAGTTCGGCAGCTCTGCTACAAGCCACCATATACAAACTCTAGTAAAAGCGATGACAATATATTTCTTGACCGCTGTATGCGTAGATAGGTGCATATGATTACACGCTACGCTCGGAACATGCAAAGCATACGAAACTAAAGTCAACTATCTGTGGCACATCTTTTATGACACATCAAGTGCCATGCAATTACAGCCGGTTGGAGTCGCTTGCAGAAGCCACACACATGCAGACAGCGATACCATGCCGCCCACAGACATATTTGGCCCACTGGCAGCATGCCCTCTTCTTTGGCAGCCGGCTTTTGCGGCGCTTGCGGCCGGGCTGGCCAATCAGCTCCGTTACGCAAGCCGCACAGCGACTCTTTGATCTGCGACTGCCAGTGCTGGCGTCACTAGCACTACGGCCATCGCTACCGGCACCGCTCTCGACGCCGCCTCGTCACCTCCGGGGCCACTGCCGCCACCGCCGCTTTGCACCTCTCCACCTGCACTAGCCTGGCGTCTTGTTGTCTTGACAAGGCGCATGACGGCCAGCGCTCTGCCCCCGAGCCCCACGGGTTGGGCTGCACCCTCGTGGATGCGGGGTAGAGCCAGCTGCTCTCCCGTGGCGGACAAGATGGTGCACCGGTCGCCGCCACCGACGCCGGTCGTTCACCATCCCCTGTGCAGCAGGAGCACTGTCGAGGCGTTGATCTCGGCGACGCCCAGCATGAGGAAGAAGACGGCAATCGGCCAGCATTACAGAGGCGGCTTTCCCACGTAGTGTTCGATAATTGCGTCCATCACGTCCACACCGGCTTTCGTTGCGTTGTACGCGGGCGCGATCTCAAGCTTCTTTGTGTTCTTGTCCACCATGGGCGTCTGATGCTGAGTAGACAGCAGCAGCACCAGCTTGCCTGGCCGGGGGCAGTGCAATACCATAGTCACACCGTTGCTGAAAGCGAACTGCAGCATTGAATCGAGCGCCCAGCCTCCGACGACAGACAGCTCCTTGGGCAGGAGGCGGCGGACGCGGTTGATGGTCCCGATGCCTACCAGCCTGTTTACAAAGAGGTCCTCGGAGAACGGAACGGAGGTGAAGTACCGGTCTAAAGTCAAGTTTTGCCCGGTGCCAGACATCTCTTGCGTCATACACTTGACCATGGCCGGTACATTCTCGAACACATTATCAGGTCGGGCCAGCTCAAGCTGCGCCGGTTGGCTTCCGCACGGCCACATTTTCCACATGTAGCGAACGTTGGCGTCTGTGACCGTACGCAGAAGCAGGTCATACCTGCCAGGCTTACTCGGCATACACATCTTGGAGGCGTGGCGGCCACGGAACCTGATGAGGCTGTCATCAAACGTACGGTTTTTATAAAGGGTGCAGTACTATATAGCATTTATAGCGTTTTTATATTTTAATGTGTATGGTTTTGTCAAGGAGCGGGGGGCACACAACATTGTGGGTTTAGTGCCCTAGAGTATAGTGGAGGGACTCCCAAGTACCCTTTGAAGGGATCCCAGAATAAATTACCTCTCCCAAAATCCTCGCATCGCCGCCATTACATCTCAAAATTCTTAGATTTATATTTTGTATGCGGGAGCCCATCTTACTGTGCGCAGCCTTAGGAAACCAGCCATGCTATGCATGTACATGCATGGATATTATTCGTTTTCTCCAGATTGTGGTGAGCCTTGTCTTTTTGAGGCCAAGATTTTCGGAAGGGCATGACAGGATAGACTAAAATTGGCTGCTAAATGCCATTAAAATCGAGCACGAAATTGATTCCTAGCTTATTTACAGGTAGTCGGGTGGTCAATGTGACAAGCTTATGGCTGATGACCAACGTATTGCTTTTGCTTTATTTGTTATGAATGAGTACAAAACATCCTAGCATTGCAAATGTACTAAAAACGTGATCCACGAGTATGATAGCTGTCACAACTTCATTAACCAACCAAAATAATGCATACGACGTCGGCGGCACGCAAGATTGTGTTGGATCGCCGCAGGTTAAAATTCATTGGCACATGTCCCACTGCAGCTCTAAAGCTAAGACACCAAGGCCAAGACGGACGGAAACTGAGCGACCATGGGTGCTACGGTAGGCCAACAAAAAGGCTTCCGTCAATAAATTTAGGATCCTCGGAGCAAGCGAGAAGAGCCCGAGCCCAGCGTGGTAGACCTCTGAGCGATCGGAATCGCCCCGGCAGGTTGATGTATAGGGCTCCGGCCAGATCACAGGGTCCTCTGAGCAAAGGGGAATTATTCAAGGCTAGTGTACGGAAATTCATGTCCCTGGGCGATAAGAGTGCCCGAGCAGGTTACCACGCGCCCGGGTGGCCAGTTGCATATGCTCCGCTCGGGCAGGGAGGGGGGGGGGGGGGCAATTTGACCCGCTGAGATCTCAGAAGTTGAGAAAGCTAGAGACACCAAATTCACAGGGTATGTTGGTCTGTACGTGAACTCACTTGCGTCAAAATTTGATGCTCCTAGGTCATGACGTTCAGGTTAAATACGCTCAAACGAGGCCCAACTTCCGGTCGGTTTCCAAAGTGCCTCCAAACATTTTCACGCAACCACCGTGAACATAGGTGTCTGTTCTAAGCCAAAGGTCATTGGCGCTCATTAAAGGTCAGTGACCTTCTTTGATCTTTAGACGGTCATGGCGACCAAAATCACATATAAGACTACGTTGATACTTACATTTAGATCAGCGTCGAGTATTATGCCAGGCGTTATGTTTCTAAAACAAATGTTGACCTTGGTCATTTTAGGCCAATGATTTAATCTGACCTTTAATTAGTTCATAGAAGATGTAAAATTATATTTTTTCATCCACAGATTTAAGATGAGCAACAAAATCTATTGTATACAGAAAACTCTAGAGTTAAACAGCAGGTTAGCTCTGACCTTAGTCTGACCTACACATGTGGCTTCGTCTAACATTCCGTTATTGCATCAGATTAAACGTTTCCTTGGAAGTTGTCTTCGCCGAATCCATGGCCTGAAATTGGCCTGGCGTAGATCAGTCATTTTACAAAGTAAGCCTACATTTTATACCAAAAGATCTGCATTTTAATTGTTTATTGTTACGCAAATTTGGCGTGGCTACGCCGCACCGTCGAGAAATTATTCCGGCGACACGTGCATGGAACGAATGACCTTAAGAAATCCAGCGTTACCTTCTGATGGAGTTCCCATTCACTTTTGGACAGCGACGCCTCAGGTGCGGATGTACTAAAGCTCGCCACGGTCCCGCCCGCGCGGCGCCGCGCATGCGTGCCAAATATCGTCGATGTATAGGGATGCCTTCCGGGCCGTGGTGCGTCCTCCCCACAGACTATGACGGATTTGGATGTTGCTGTCCTCCAGGGTGCTTTAGGGAACTGACCAACCCGACCGTACCGGGTTGGCGACGCGATTGAATTGTGCCTTGCTGCTGCACGGAAGGTCGCGTGCGGCATCATGCCGCTGATGGCGGTATTCTTGATTTATTTCGTCAAACGAGGCAAGTTCCGCAGTTTGCGAAACTTTTTCTTCAAGACTATCCAATGATGCGTTTCCGACATCGGGGTCGGCTGCAACACCGTCCTCTTGAGTACTCACTCGAATGTAAGCTATCATGGCCACCTGAGATCACCAGGTTTACAACAGCTGGAAAAAGCTATATACGCTAGAGCAAGGCTACATAAACAATACGTTATAGTAAAGACATTTTTCAAGAAAATCAGCCTGACAGTTTCCAAGATTAAAACCCTGCAAGTACACCGTGAAATAGGGGTGGCCTTGAAGTCTCATATGTAAAGACATAAACGACACATCGCGGACAAAAGTATTCGCGCGAATTTCGACGCCGTCTGCGCCGACTGCTGTGCACTTCGGAGGCGCCTGTGACGTTTGGTTGGTGCTTGCCGTATGTGCTATGTGGACTTTGTAAATTCATAGGAATTACAATATTAGGAATGGAGAGAAGCAATCTGGAATGGTCCGACTTACATGCAATGTGTTTTGGACCTCACACCAAACGGCGACTTGACTTATGCTGTCGCTGTTCCAGCTCTCTGGACACGGTGTAGGCTAGGTGCATGCTTTCTCACTCGGACCCATGTCTTGCATTTAGGAAATTGTTATGACGATGCATTGCTAGACAGTGTTTCAAAAGTATTGTGTTATTCATCATTTAATGTTTGATGTGGAGAAGTACGTGCTGGTATTTAACAGTTGAAATATGATTGACTAGTTAAGCCATCACCTTTAAAAGTAAGTGGTTTATTTCACTTTTCTGTCACCTTTTGGCAAGATATTTCATCAATTATATTTTAACTTGTCTGATGTGGTCAATTATTGCAGGTGTTAAAGCTTCAGCTACTTTGCCTTTTCTGGTCACTCCCTGCATGCAGCCATGTTTGTGAAAGTGAGGACCATGGATGGCAATGCCTCAGGAGTTGTGACAATATCCAAGCTCACTACAGTAGACCAGTTCAGGAAACTGGTGGAAGATGAGCTTGATGTTGCTCCAGAATGCCAGCGGCTCTTCTTTAGAGGCAAACAGGTATGAAGTGGGTGGGCTCTTTGACATATTGCTGGTCTGCTCTTCAGGTGCTGTATATAAGCCCATTTCTCCACTCCAATTGTACTGAATTGTTTTCAGTATTATGATGGTGCATATTCTATTGGTTTTTGTGTGGTGTATTAATATTGGGGTTGTGATTTATCAGAAAACATCCATCAGGTTTCATGTGGTGTTCATTGAATACCACAAACATTCCCATTGGTAGGTGCATGCTTACATGTGTGTGGTTTTACCAACCACCAGATATGAGACAAGCTTACTTACTGTTTTTTTCAGATGGAAGATGGGCACACCATGTTTGAGTATGATGTCAATGTTAATGATGTCATACAGCTCATGGTTCGGCAGCCTCTCGCCCCTGTCAAAGCAGACAACCATAGGAGACAAGCAAACAACACCATAGATAAGGTTTGTTCCAAATTCTGTAATGCAGTGCCTTGTTAATGTCTCTCCTGTGATCTGTACTCCACTGCCAGATTGCCAGCCATCATGTATTGTAACTTTCCAAGTCCTTGCTCTGGCACAGGTAAGGATCAGCTGCTGGGACCGCCTAGGATCAGTGGTTGTGGTGTGAATAAAGATGCCTTTTCCATCTCTAGCCCAACTTATTCTTGTTGAAGAATGTCTCATAATGCTCCATTTTGTCAAGGATGCCACTCCCGCTGCTGACTGGCCTAATGCCTGTTGCAGGACAGTGCAGACAAAGGTGCATCCTCAGTGCCAGTGGAAGCATGTGGTGTCAATGGTGATGCAGCCCAGACTGTTAACTCTGACAAGGTAGGCTGATCATTTGCAGACACTTGGTCCCCATTAATCATCTAGCTGGGAGGCAGGCACACTGTTAATGTGCTCATCAGCATCCAAAAACATCCAAACACATTGATATCTGTTGTACATCATAAGTCTTCTATTAACCTGACCGTCTCCTGTGTCAACTCCCCCCCCCCCCTAAAGACATGTATTGGGTGTGTGACTCTAGCAAATTCTCCTCATGTCATTTAAACAATTTCTTCTTGGCAGGCTGACAGTTGAAGAAAGCCTAGCAATGGTGCCACTTGCTACATATATACATTAGATTTTGTCAGCTGAAAGGCATTTGAGTGTATGTAACTATCCTCAAAAGGTACGTATTTTTAAATCTTCCATCTATATTTTCCTATCCCATCGTTCGGTTCCGCAGGTCCGTGTCGCGTCCTTCGTCACGTGACCGCAGTGCCGATGTGCAGACCTCAGACCGTTTTTCCACCTCAGGCCTTTCTGATCCCGTCCTAAGTTCGCTCGTATCTCGTCCAAGTCTTTCTGACCCTGCCGCTTGTCGCCAGGCGGTGGACATGGACGACAACCGCGGCTGGGATCTCCTCTCCGCGGAT